TTTTTTTTTTTTTTTTTGTCTTTTTCCATGTCCGGCAACGGATCACAACCCTCAGTGTCGCACCCATACCAGACCGGACCGGCAACGGGATCGCAACCCTCGGTGTTGCTCCCACACCTCGCTGTATGTGGAACCGGTCTGTATGTGGGATCCGAACCCTCGGCGGGAGCACCACCGCACTTCCAAGCGGTGCACTGTAGCAGTGCGCCACCGGGCCAGCCCCTGTACTGCAGAATTTCTCAACAGCATTAAGCAATATGCTGTACTCCTTATATGCATTTTCTTGTTTAATCCTCACAATCCTATGAAGTAGGTCTTATATTTTTCCCATTTTAGAAATGAGAAAGCTGAAGAAGCTCGAAGAGAGTAAGTAACCTGCTCCAGACCACACAGAGTTACCACCATAAGATACTAAATGGGACTCTGAAATCAGGTCTTTCTGGAACCAAAGGCTGGTTTATGATCATTCAGACCAACACTGTTTATAATACTCTGATGGGCATTAGATCACTCCAAGAGGGACACATAGCATAAAGCACTTCCCAAATAGATTGATTAGGGAGCTCTTTTGAATGAATCAGCACTCAAGACTAGCTTTCCAAGGAACACATTTTGAGAAATATTTAGGGAAAGTGAATCAAAAGAGAGCCCATTGCAGACAGAAGGGAGGTGAAAAATAGCCCAGAAGGAAAAGCTATAGAGAACATTTATAAAATTGTGCTCAAAGAATTATTAATAGGGACATATAAGTTAAACCTCAATTTAACAGATAGCATTTTTTATCTCCAGATTTATAAGCTTCACTTGATGGCTCATTTCTTTCAAACAACATTTCATATGACATTCTAATTCCAACATATTCACTCTTTAGAATCGGTTGTAGGATTTTTACTCACCTAGTAATCCAACTCATTATGTCACTAATATTGGTAAAGTGTATTCACACTGGGGGTATCAGTTTTTTAACTTGCTGTGTATTTCAACGAGCGCAATTTGCATTTAGTGGTGAGATAATTCTTTATTGTACAGGACTGGCCCAAATGTA